AGCCGGAGCCAGAATCAGTGAAGGAGTTATTTCAGAAAGCCAATAAACTAGGAAACAATTGTTATTTTGCCTTTACCTCTCCAACACACACACACACACACACACACACACACACACACACACACACACACACACACACACACAAAGAAGAATGAGAGAGAGAGAGAGAGAGAGAAAGAGAGAGAGAGAGAGAGTTCATATATTCACTTTTCCTAAGAATGACTTTGGATCTTCTGAACCTAGTTTATTTATTAAACTTCATTTACTGTGACTCCCCTGAACCATCTTACCCCACCTAACAGTGACCCCAGTTTGTCATTTCTTTTGCCTGAGAATAGATTATTTAGATTTACTTAAATAGCCTTCCAGAAAAGCCTCACTAGGCAGACTTTCCTCCCATTAATAGTATGGGAAATTAGTCTTGGTTCTTCAGGCAAGTGTTGGTAAGTGGGGGGTGTGCTTCAGAGTGCTCACAGGGCATGTAAAAAGCCCCACGTTTGATGCCCTACAATCACACACACACACACACACACACACACACACACACACACAGCATGATATTTTTGTAAACATAATCTTATCATGAACTTATGGCCAATGAAGTTGTTTGTTTTTAAAAAAGAAAAGAAAGAAAAAGAACGTAAAGTTGGTTGGGTAGGCAGGTGGGAGGATCTGTGAGGAATTAGGGAAGGGAAAACCATGATGTATTTATTGTAGGGGAAAAATCTAAAAGAACATGAGAACAGAAGTTAAGTCACTGAGGGGAACATTTCAAAGTGTGTCTGAGCCTGCATCACGCACGTGGAAAAAGCAACTGTGAATTTGAGAGAACTAAAGAATTATAGGGAAATTTTCAAAGGTGGTATCTCAGAGTTGTTTTGAAAATTTCCCTATAATTCTTTAGTTCTCTCAAATTCACAGTTGCTTTTTCCACGTGCGTGATGCAGGCTCAGACACACTTTGAAATGTTCCCCTCAGTGACTTAACTTCTGTTCTCATGTTCTTTTAGATTTTTCCCCTACAATAAATACATCATGGTTTTCCCACACGATCCCCTGAACAAATTGAGAGCATGGGAAGAGGGCAGAAAGAGCTACAAGAATGAGAAGGGAAGAAGAGGAAGGCTGCAGAGGTCATGAGGGAGCAGAAAGGTTGAGTCGGGGATAGATTAGAAGAAAGGATATGTGATAGGTAGGGTTTTAGTTGGGGGTGGTAGGGGAGGAGGGAAGGAGAAGGGAACTGGGATTGTCATGTAGTTCAATCGTGTTTGTAACTCAAATGAAAAAAGAAAAAAGAAGAATTATAGGGAAAAATTCCTAGGGAAAAGCTAAGGTCAGCTACATGCATGCCCCCTTTGGAGTTGGTGAAATTCCTTTTCATTCACTCCTGATGTCATGCTGAGTCATAAAATGTAGTGTGTCTCCAAACCCATCTCTGGAAGTCCTTTGTTAGTCATCACTACACTCAGAGCTTGAGGCCAGTGCCATTCACACTTGCCCTATTCTGCAGCAGACAGCTCCAGCTCCTCTAATCCTCCTTTTTCTCCCCACCCCCCCAAAAAAAAACTTTTCTTGAGGAGTAACAACTATAGCTTTGGGGATAATATAGCTTTAAGACAACTTTTGGCAGATGCAAACATCCCAACATCTGGGCAGTGTTACCAGAATCCCGGAGGCCCTGACAGACCAGGAGCCACTGGTTCTGGGAATGTTAAAGTAGAAAGGGTTTTTCCGACTGATGAGAGGAGCAGAGAGCAAGGAGAAAAAGGGGAGAGAAGGAGACCGCAAAAAATAAAATAAAAAGCAAGTAAGTACTGCACTTAATCCCTCACACTGCACTGCCCCATTTCACAGCTGTGGAGAGGTCAAAAGACCCGGGACTTAGATGCTATGGCTGGAGGTGGACGAGGAAAGAAACTTTTTTAATGAAATTGGATCATATGCTGTTTTCATTTGTGCTGGCTGCAGATGCATGTTCCTGCTCTCTTCTCCGCTTCCAGCAGAAGGATGGCTCCCTCCGGTGAGTCAAATTTCTCAGTCTGAGACTGGGCAGGAGGTGGGCAGGAGAGAGGTCATAGGCTCTAAGAGTCTGGGGGCTGACACAAGAAAACCTTTGTTCCACTGCAAAGGAACTGGTTTGGGGCTGAATATGGGAGAAGGGTCAGTGACTAGTTCATTTCCCTGGATATTTTTTTAACTTTTTTCCCACTTGGTGGTTTAATCCATCTATTTCCTTTCTCTCCTTTAGATTTTCTTTTCTTGATAGCCCCCTTACCATAGCATTCCCCCATTCTTTACCTGCATTCATTATTCTCACTTGTCCCTCTCTCCTACTTTGTAAGCACTACAGATCTAAAGCCAAGGAGTAATGACTTGGAAAATGAATTTTTGGCTTTATCAGATGCCCCTTTAAGGACCCTGCCCAGAACCTGCCATTGTCTTTTGTTTCTCCATTTCTGAGACTGATTACTTCTCTGAGTATGGCATTGCATGGGAAGCATGTGGGTGAACGGATGCTTGTTGAGAGGTTCAGTGACCAGTTTTTATTGATGGGCAGCAAGTGTTAGTGCTGCTACTTGGGGAATATTTGTCCAGTAGCACCACAGAATTCTCTCATCTCATCTCATTAGTGTGAAGATTTCCCTAGAAAGGAAAACGGGATAGCAACAGGAGCTTGGTCATACTCTTCTTGTGGGCCTCGTCAGGTCTTCTGCAACCACTCTGCCATCCTGCTAGTTCAGCAGGGCAAAACTGGAGAGGTAGGCTGAACTTGAAAGCCAGAAGTTTCTGTCAAACCACTAAGCCTCAAAACCCAAAGCTAAGAAGAGAGCAGAATTATAGTTACTGCCTGCAGGGGAGAGAAAGAAAACGCCCTGTCTTGTCCAATATGAAGTTAGTAATAATAGTGGGAAAACACACTGATTGTTTCCCGATGTAGCAGACGATAATATATTCCATGAGGTAGGTACCATTGTTATTGTTTTGTATGTGAAGAGACAGAGACGTAGAGAAGTTGCCTCATTTGCTAATTGGTGACAAAACTGGATCATATCCAGATCTGCCTCACTCTCCAGCTCAAGGTCTTAGACCATATATGTTAATGCTTCCTCAGATTTGTGGTTAAGAAACCTTGAGTGGAAAAAATCCCTAACTAGCAGCCTTTGAATTTCCAGATTCCCTCCTAGTTCTGTATGACTTTATGTTAGCATTGCCCTGGTCTTGGAACTTCAGTGTCCCTCCCTGTGACTTGGACCATACAATATCCACACTGGATGGCACCAGAGTTAAGTTGAGGACTAGTTGCTTAATGTCCTCCTCTTCCTGCTTGGAGGAAGGGGACCATAAATCCAGATAAGTCTTATCACCCTATGAAGTAAGAAAGGTTTATGAGCCAGATTATACAGCTGGAATTGATTAATGTTAAAATTTTCTTCCTAACAGATCCCATATATCTGCTTCTTCTCACTTTTGGGAGTTCATAGCTGGCTCAGTTCTGAAAGTCATTGTCCCTTACCCTGATATTTCTGGCCTATTCTTGCCTCCTGAAGCTTCCATGTTAAGGATGGCTGGTCAACTGACCCAAAGAGGTGCTCTCTCACTGCTGCTCTTCCTAACACCAGCAGTGACACCAACATGGTATGCAGGTAAGTTCTGGGAGCTGTTGTGCATTCCTGCTAGGGTGGTCAAGAACTACACCAAGACATAGAAGAGGGAATAATGAGACTGCAATGAGAGATCCCTAACTTAGAACCAGAGAAAAACTGTTAGGTGGCAATAATGGTGACAAAATAGTAAAAAGGGCTACCAATCAAGGCCCATGAGACACCCTAGCAAGAGCTATTTGATAATAGGCTATGCTAACACAAAAGTGAAAGAGTGAGACAGTGTGGCCTTTGAGGCTATGTATTAACTTCCTGACAACAATGAGGTTTTTAGGTTTGGCTGTGTGTTTGGTTGCTTGGTTATATGTTTTGATTTCTATGCAGGGAGATGAACATAGAGTCTCACAAATGCTAGGCAAGTTCTCTACCACTGAACTGTATCCATAACCCACTGAAAACTTCCAAGGAGTTTTTAATAAGCCAAAGATTTATCAATATTAATCCTTTCCTGAGTCAAATATCCTTGATAAGACTACAAAACAGGACTCAGATTGTGTATCACTTTGGGGGAAAAAATAAGGGAGACAGGCAGTCTACTAAGGGGGAACAAGAATCCACCAGGCCACCCTCTTTTTTCTTTCTTTCTTCCTCTCAGTGTATCTGTAGGATTTGTACAGCCATTTTTATTTGTACAGCCTTTTTTGGTTAACACAGTCAATGACAGTACGGATCACATTTTCTTAATTAGGAATCCCCCAGTCTCTTCGGGTTTGTTCCCTATTTCAGAAAGGATGTCACTTTCTGGAGTCCTGAGTATTTCACTCTGCACTCCTGGGAGACATAGTAAGCCAACAAGAGTGGTCTGAGGAGGAGGGGTTAGAATGCAAGCGGGGCAAGAAAAGGATACTGAGCCACCATACAGAGGTTTTGACTGGGTTCCAGGGGCATTTCATAGTGCTAAGAATATTCTGTGGCCTGCAGTGTCTGCCCTTAGAGGGGCTGGAGAGAGTGGGGGAATGAGATAGTCCCAACCAGTGGGGTTAGGAAAATTTCCAGAGATGAGTAAATAACAAACTGCAACCATCACAGCCACCACCATTGCAGCTAAAATTTTCCACATACCCCCTAGCTCCCAGTAGAGGCCTTTGGCAGCAGCTCTGTTTGTCTGGAACAGCTGCATCCAGCTTTCAAACAAGTATGCAAGCTTCTTCCCCTCTTTGGCTTAACCTGGCTTTGTAGGGGGTAAAGCACAAGGGCTGACATTCAGCTGAAGAAATTCAAATCAAGCCCTTGGCAGAGTGTACACTGTTTGGGGTTAAAAGAGCCCCAAGTCTTCAGGAGATAAATATGCAGCTGTTCTCCCCAAACACCCACTGGCTTCACTTCAAGTATAGAAGACCAGAATCTACTCAAAAGACCACAGAACTAAGGGAGTGGAGATCTGATGGTTCAAAGTCCAATTTCGAACACCTGTATGAAACTCATTAAATCCTGAGATGTTAGAGTTTTTCAGACAAGGCATTAGAAATACTTAACTACATGTGAGGTTCTCAGAGGGTTGTTTGCAAATCAGACACTTCCCACTTCTACACCAATCACCACAGTCAACACTACTTGCTAAGAACCCAGGCTGCTAAGGTATCTGGCAGTCCTATGAGTCTTCTTAGAAGGTTGCATGATCGTAGATACTTGGAGACTTAATCGTTCTTCCCTTCAATGCTGGATCAAACACTGGGTTTGTGTCCATTTGCCCATTCATTCATTCAACAAATGTATGTTGAGCATTGCCTATACCCCCAAGGACTGTTTTGTTCTCTTGTTTGGGAATGGCACAAAGGCGCAAGGGTGAGTGAGAAAATGCACCCAGGAATGATCAACAGAGAGTAGAAAATATACATGAAGCTGAGTGGGTTAAAAATGTGTACTGCAGTATCTGTATATTTCAGAAAGCCGTGCTGTATTTGTCATCAAAGGGCAGGCATTAATGTGGCTCTTAACAGCATCTTCAATTATGAAATACCTTTCAAACCATACAAGAAAGGCTGGACTTAGAGAGTCCCACTTGGCTGTGGAATTTGAAAGAACCCAATAACAGACCACACAGTGGGGAACCACTGACTGATGCAAAGGAAATGAGAAACGTTCAAGCCAATGGAATGATACAGGGATTGTGTCCTTCTGTATAGTTTCATTCTTATAGCCCACTTCAGTATCCCAACATGTGCATCAAATATGTGAAAGTAGGCAACGAGGAGACATGGGAAAGTTTAAGCGGTTAACTAGCCCAAGCCCATTCCTGGTACAAAGGAAACCTAGCACTAGGAAAGCTACCTCCACATGCTGCTAGAGACTATAATTATGGGATTGAGTCTTCCCCTCAGTTCTCCCACATGCCCTGCAATTCTGGAATGGAATAAAATGCATGGTGGTCAATGGTCTCCCCCACCCCACCCCATTGCCACAGTAAAAATTCTAGATTGCAAGACTGATTTTCCCTTCTGCACATAGTCAAAACACCTCCTCTATCACCATTTGAATTTTAGTATTTGGGTCTAGCCCATGAGATTCAAACAGACCTGGGCTGGGAGATCTACTCTGCTTCTGTGTCTTATACATAGGAGATCATTAATGGTGTGAATGCAGTTGAGATGTTATAGCAACATAATGAGCTAGCATATGCTCTACATAGTAAGAGCTAACTTGTTATGGTCATTATTTTATCCAGACATAAGCCATGACACCCTGCTTTCTCGTCTGCTGAACAGCTGTTCCCTGACGAACATTTCTTCACAAGCTAGCTCTACAATAAGAATGGGGAGACCTAATACTTTAGGGAACCAAGCACATCTGGCCTCCTGTTTACAGGAGCTGTGAGGGATTGAGGCTACCACTAAACTGAAACAGCTGACAAGGAGTCTACGCTGCACAAACAAGCATCCCATGTGGGAAAGAAGAGGAGGGGGCCCATGGAGAAATAAAGGAAAGTCAGATAAAGTGAAATGTGAAAAAGGCCAAAACCAAAGAGAAAAAGTGAACCTTTTCTTTTGGAATGAGGGTAAACCAATAAGGACATGATTTCATAAGACAAACTTGCAATTTGATTCATCTCCATGTTTACCAAGTTGGACTGACACACACACATACACACCCCACTCCCCATCCCCCATCCCACACACACAGAGTCCTCGCCTGGGCCCTAGGGAGTCAACGAGCTTCATCATCTTGCCCTCTGCTCCACCCTTTAGTGCAGGAGGCCCTGTACCTCTGCCCAAGAAAAGGCCACAAGCTTATGTTCTGTGTGTTTACATAGGTCAAAGGGCTCCAGCTCTAAAGCCCAGCCCAGTCCTGGAAGCACACCCTCTCCTGGAAATGGAGAATTGTCTTGAGACTCCAACACGGCTGGCTGCCCTGTTCCTGAACATGCATTAGAACTCAGGGGCATTAGAGAAGGCCTTCCGGAAACTTTGCTACGGAAAGAACGAAATTGTTTTCCAATTAGTTCATATTCATGACCGATTTCCTGCGTCTGGTGGAACACACTGTTTAGTCTCCCCGACAGCCGCAGACCTGCCACCACCAGGAACTGTGCCACTTAACTGGATGGAAGTAGATAGACTGGGAATGTTTTCTAGTTCAGCAGCACACTGCTAAAGCTGCTCATGACCGGAAGAAGAGGAAATTATCCCAAGGACTCTGCCTTGGGAGAGGGGGCACCACATGGGTGAGGCCCTAGGTTTGATCACAAGCACTGAGAGAGAAAAAAAAAAACTTACTCTGACTTCTCTTTTAACTCCAAGGCAGAATAAAGTGCTTATGAAAGAATTCTCATTCCTATTTGCCCTTTAAGCCATCCATCTCGGCCTTGGCATGCCACAGCAGCAATTAACCATCAGGTGCTTAACATGCCCTGTAGGCTCGTGAGAGTGCTTGAAATACTGTTTCCCTCTGAGAACTGTGTACATGTCTGTCACTGGAGAAGACACTCAGGCGCTATTATTTCCTCAGAGCTGGGACAACAGTCCATCCCCAGAGCCTGGCTATCAGTGTCGCACCAAGACTAGTGAGCTGCATCAGGGGAATGGAATGGGCCGTTTCTAGTCTAGATTGGCAGGTCTGACAGGTGGTTAAGTCCCATTGTTTTGTTTTGAAAGTCTTCTCACGAAACCAGAGACCCCACCACACCTCACCCCTCTGAGGTTGCTCTCTTCACACCTCATGTGACTAAGATCACCCACAAGAGCTCTGCAGTTTTACAAATCACTTGGCAGCCCTATCATAAAGTGCCAGGTCCTCAGAAAAAGACAGGGGTTAGGGTACTGGGATGTACTTGTGTGATAAATGAATACCCTTTTATATTTTGTTCCTCATTCTAGGCTCAGGCTACCATCCAGATGAAAGCTACAATGAAGTATATGCAGAAGAGGTCCCAGCTGCCCGCTCCCTGGACTACCAAGGTAATTCTCATTGTTTCTCAAGCTCAGGAAGGATGTTTTCTGGACTAAGATCTGGATCTTCCCACAAATGTCCTCATCAATGCTTAGCTCCTGTGTGTCCGAATGGCAGCTCAGAGAATCGTCAAGAACTATGGTTTTCTTTGTTGATGTCTTCATCTTGTTTTTCTTTGTCCTTTTGTTTGGTTTTTACGCATGCACTCTAGCACTGAGCCCAAGCCCTCTTGTTTTGTTCATTTCTTTATTGAGACAGGGCCTCACTATGTATCCCTGGACAGCTTTGAACTCAAGATCCTTCTGCCTCAGCCTCTTCAGTGCTAGGGTTACAGATGTGTAGGTAAGCTATGATTTCTTCTGCCTCAGCCTCTTCAGTGCTAGGGTTACAGATGTGTAGGTAAGCTATGATTTCTAATTACAAATTTGGTCACTGACTTGCTGTGTGGTTTTTCCCTCCATGGCCTGAAGGTTGCTCATCTATTATGAGTCATTAGCATGGGCTGAGTATCTGCTCTATGTCTATTCCTGTGCAGGGTAAGCCTATGGGAAATACAAAGGCTACTGTAAGACTCTGCCCCTCCTCTTCAAGCTTCCATTCTATTGGGCATGAAGTGAGAATAACATTAACACACACAGAGCAAATAAGTGTGAAACTGTGTAGTAGCCATAAATGAAGTAGGAGTTTAAGATGAAGAATTCAGGAAAGAGATGATGCTTGAAAGATGAAATTCAGGATAGACCTTAAATGATGAACAGACCGTTGTAAACTGGGAAAGGTGACAGGTAGACATTTGCCAAAGCAGATGGCCAAAGATATTAAGGTAAAACCAAATTCACTGTACTAAGGAACTAAGAAGAAATTACACTGACTTGAAGGGATAGAATACAGGTGGAGTAGTAGAGAATCGAATTGAATATAAAGAGTGAATTAGGAAAGGTCCAATGGGTTCCATCAAAGGAGAGTCAGAAAGAATGCTGAATAGTAATTCCTTTATTGGATAGAAAGTCAGTTCAAGTGATGTCAAATATGACTTCAATTTATGATTCTCTCTGTCCATGCTTTCCTAGGCACACATAAGAGTTTAGCTGTTATGCTCTAATGACTGGTTATATGGTTTTTCACGGGTCAGTGACACTGTAAAAGGTATTTCAGAACACTAACTAGGTTATTCTGTTTTGGTTGGAAGAAGTAAAGCCTGAGGTGAAGAGAGTTTCCAGGAGTCAGTTACAGTAATGTTAGGTGGAAACATTTGAGTAGAGTAAGGATACACCCCAGAGGGACTAGAGGTGTAGCTCAATAACAGAGTGAATGCATGGGGTATAGAAGGCTTTCCTGGGTTTGATTCCCAGCATCACAATTAAATGATGTATTCCAGAGATGTTTCAAAGGAGATGGTAAGATTGGGTGGGATTTGATGTGCGAAGGGGTCAAGAAATTAATGTCTGAAAGAATCCAATCTGATTACCAAGGAAGACTCTTAAAAACCTTTCAGAAAGACAAAGTTTTTTTTTAAGTAAACTAGGAGCCTGTGAGTCAAATGGTAAAAAGAGCCCGCTGACAACCTGAGTTCAATCCCTGGCACCACACAGGATAAGGACACACAGACACAACTACATGTGTGAGTATGCACTCATATGGATGTGTACACACACAAACACACACAGGAAAACTAATTTGGAAGGTTACTGGGTAGATAGTTGAAAGAAAAAGAGGAAGTTTTGTGAGTATCCAACTTAAATGAAAGAGCTCTCTGAAGAAAGACATGAGTAGGAGAAAAAGATACATCAAATGAGAGAGAGAGAGAGAGAGAGAGAGAGAGAGAGAGAGAGAGAAGACAGTGTGGAAGAAGATTGTCTATCAAGAATATTACAAATGTTGCAGATGAAAATGTAGAAATATGGAAAAGATATGGAATCAGCTATGTCAAGCATTACAAAGAAATCAAATGATAGTAAGTATTTCAGTTACTGAAGGTGTAAATGGTGGGCTTTGAGAAAGCTGTTCCAGTAAAGAAACGATTCAAGCTTGGGGTTCTTCTATGCTCCTTTCTGGCTATCTCTTTATTGTCTTTGTTTTACTGCTAATGGTGCACAAGCAATACCTGTGACTCTAAATTTCCGGCAGCAGTGGACACAACACATCTTGAAAATGATAGTTCTCCCTTGAACACCAAATCATATGGCCTTGAGCTTCAGTTTCCTCAGTCTCTCAAACAGCAGTGAGCAAACACATCCCTTTCTTTTTGGTTCCCCTTCTTGGGATTTCCTTATTCTGATCATAGTTGAAGCCAAGATAGGAATCTGGGTCTCTGGTAGTGACCATGGAGAGAAGAATGCTGGCATCTGAATTTTGGACAGCACTGACTTAACTCCATAGCTCCTGGACTGCATCTCTAACACTTCTAGATACACCTATTTAGAGCTGTCTTAACAGCAAGTATTTTGTCTTATATGAAAAAAATTCTACTGCAACCTCACTGTCTTAATTTCTGATAATACTACCAATATCCCCTTAGTGACTCAGACTTCAAAATACCCCAGTGTCACTTCTAACAATCTCCATCACATTTAATAACCCCCTTTCCTCATCATCTATCACTAGTCATCCACCAAGACCTATTATTTCTTTAATACATGGGATTGGAATTATTATTATTATTCCATACATAGACAAAGGCTGTTTTTTTTTTTTCTTAATCAGATTCTCTGGCTCAAGTTTCTTCATTCTCCCAATGTAGTGACCTAGTAAACCATTTAAAATCAAAATCTAGCCTTAGCTCTCAGTCTGACAACTTTTTAACACCATTTCTCCACATGAAATCCGTGCTTTAGTTAGGGTGGTTACTGGGTTTTTTCCACAAAATGATTTAGTACACGTGGGGCTTTCCCTCACTCATTCATTCATTTTTCTGATTACATTTATTCATTCATTTGGAGGAAGTGTGCCACAGCACATGTGTGGAAGTCAGAGAACCATTTACCAGAGAGTTGGTTCTTTTCTTCTACCATGTAGATCCTGTGGATGGAACACAGGTTGTCAGGCTTGTTTGCAAGTACATTTACTCACTCAGCCATCTTGCTGGCCCTCATTACTTAATTAAGTATCTACTATCTACCTTTTCTGAAATTAAAGTTTTGTTTGTTTGTTTGCGGAAACCACTCACTCATTTGGCCTTCATTATGTACTGCTTATCGCTCTAAACGGAATAGTTATTTAACAAAGGGAATCATATATATATCCCTCCCACAGAAGCATATGAAAAGTGGGTTACCTTCTGGGAACCAAAACTGGAAGAATCTGGCACTAAAAGTTTCAGATGCAAAGGGTACTTCTTTAGGTGGTGTTGTGAGTTAGACGCAGGGCCTCGTGCATGCTAGGCAAGTGTTCTACCACCAAGCCAGACATCCAGCTCCAGAGCTACTTTTGAAGTGTCTTGCATCCCCGTTATTACTACTTACCTGCCTCATTATTTTAGCAACTTACGTGTCACACAGTAGCATTTGCCTTGGTGTCAAGTGTCCAACTCCTTTTGGAACTTAGTCTCCAGGCCCAAAACAAACTAAGGCTATCAATGAAGCATGCAAAGGAGTGGCTAGGAAAAGTACAACCTGAGGTTCTGGCCTCCTTTGTAATCCTTTTTGTGCCTCGTAATCATTTTCTCTGCAGCTGTACCATTTCAAAACTTCCTGCAACTTAGAGGCTATATCACTGGGTGGAAGTACTGGACATGGACACCAGTGTATTGGTGCTTGAAGACACATGAGACAGTCATTCTAGCCCAGACACATATTTGGAAAAAGTCATTCCTGGGAACGGGTATTTCATATGTGAGTTTTTTGTTTTTGTTGTTTTTGTTTTTTGTTTCGTTTTGTTTCATTTTCGAGACAGTGTCTCTCTATAACAACCCTGGCTGTCCTGGAACTAGCTCTGTAGACCAGACTGGCTGGGAACTCACAGAGATCCACCTGTCTCTGCCTTGAGAGTACTCAAACTAAAGGCATGTACCACCACAACCCTGCATGTGTGGGATTTTATTTGATTGTCACCACAGCCACATGGGGATGCTTTTTTATCTCCCATTTTACAGACCAGAAAACTCAGCTCAGGGACGTCTTAGAGTGACAGAAATGAATGAGGCAGAAGAGACATTTAAACCTAGGTCTGTCTGACTGCAAAGCCATGCTTATTCCATCTCTTTCATTAAAAATGTAGCTGTTTTTAAAGATAAAGAAAAGAGATAACAGGGAAAAGCCATATCCTTATTTTAGGGAACACTGTCCACATAATTTGATATTGTTTTCACAAACCTTACCCTTTCTGACATTTTCTTATCAGGAAACCTGGGATCAGAAACCTTTCCCTGAGCTGTAGCCTTAGTCTGCTGGGTGGCTAAGCAGTTGCCTCACAGTTTGTCTCAACCCTGAGGAAACTAGTCACTTCCTGGGTTACCTCAAGTTTACCTTAGAGATGCCTTTTCCTTGTCAGTCTTTCTTGTCCTTGTGTGCCCATGGGGGGAGGGAGGGAGAGGAGAGGAGAGGAGAGGAGAGGAGAGGAGAGGAGAGGGAGAGAGAGAGAGAGACCTTCCAGTTTCTTAACTCTGGCCAAGCATTATTATGTGTCACTCATAATACTAAGTGTTCTATAAATGTTATTCCATTTAAATTAACTACATGCTTGCTATGTTGTGATATGCAAAGAACACTTGCATAGTGATAGAGCACTTGCCCAGCATGCATAAGGTCCTGGTTTTGATCCCAAGAACCACAAAATATAAAGTAGTAGTGGGAACAGTATACACAATATGCTACTGTATATGGGAAAATAGCAAAGAAAATAATAAGTTATACAAAGGTTTGCATTCTACCTATAAGCTGTTATCATAGGTTCTCTGGAAGTGCAATGGATGAGCTTAGGTATATGAGAAGGACTGACAGGAAATATTTTACTGTGTAGCTATTTACACTTTGGAAGTCATGAACAGGTGGATAGATTCGGTGGATACTTCAAAATGGCAGCTGCAGTAACAGATTTTTGTACTTAGAAGGAACAAG